TTGTGACCTTTTCTTGTTCTGTTGACTGAGCACTGTCTTAATGACCAAGACCAAACCTATCATCCTTTTCTATCATTTCCTGTTTTGTGGTCAGAGGAACCCAAATTTGAAATTCTTTCTGGAAAACATGGACTTCCTCCAGAATAAAAAGAAGCGGCACGATCCAGCTTGTTATCAGAACTCAGTTCAAAAGCCTGCAGCTCTGATGCTATGGAGGATGCATTTGTGTCTATGAAATAGGCAACTTGCCCATGTGGAAAGGCACCATTAATATTAAAAGTTAGACAAGTTTTAGAGCAACGTATGCTCCCATCCAGACAACCTTTATCTGAGGAAAGGTTCTGCACATCTCAGTGAGGCAATGATAAAACTACATGCTCCATCTTTTCCTACAGCATGGGTTTGTGGTAGAAGAGTCCATGCACTGAACTGGCCTACCTGCAGACCACAGCTTTGGACATTTGGAGTATCATGAAACACAAATTACAAAAAAGAAGACCCACGACTGCTGCGAACCCCTATCAGACGTTCTGCAGACCTGCAGATTGTCGCATTGTTGGCTTTTCACACATCGACCTGGCTTTTTCAGAATTGAGGTTTGTATTGTGCTTTTCTGTTTCTTTGTTAGCTTTTCTTTATACTTGATCTATTATTAATTTTGTAATTTTGCTTGTGACGAAAGTCAATTTGGAGACCTGATGGGGTGAAGCGTGGGGACCTGCCACAGTCAGAATGCATAAAACGGGAGATTTGTGCCTGTATGTGTGTGTTCTGACCTTGTCTTTGTTTGGCTCAGGTAACTTTTGGTTATTGCCCACTGCAGTGAGATTTTACCAGCCTGTCTCTTTTTACAGACTCCATCTAATGAAGTGGGTCTGTTTAATCACAGTTTCTATAGTTGCTCTCTTTCTCTGAACAAACAGTCACAGCTGTGGCCCTCAGTATTATTGCAGGGTGGATTCAGTGTTCAACAATAGGCCAAGGGGGAAAAGGAGGGCTGTGTGTGTGTGTTAGAGACAGACACAAAGAGAGAGTTTTCTGGGGATATGCCCACCACATGGTGTCTCCAGATGTGTGTGTGCGTGTGTTTGTCTTCATAATCTAATGCAGTCTGGGCCCTCGGGTGCTGGGGAAGCTGCGATCATGTGTAATGTGGGAGGTGAAGGATGGAGGGGTGCAGACACAGGTGTTGCAAATGAAAATGATGAAAAAGACACACGACTTTTTATTAGCAGTTAGACTTGCTGTTCCCTTTTTTATGTTTATGCACATCACATATCCACGACAAGCATGTTCAAACTCAAAACTTTGTTCTTTAGAAGCAGCTAATTTCCATCCAAAAAGCTGCAAAATGTTCACTGCTGGATTTCACTGGTTTTTAGCCATTATGGAGGAAACACAGATGTCAGTAAAGACATCAAAATTTACATAACTCTAGAGATATAATAGCTGCAAGCACAGGACACGCCATGAAATTTTATGGTCTCATCCTAACAATTCCTGTGATCTATCCTATTCTTCTACTTCCACCAACGGGCCAAAATTCTTAGAAATCTGGAGAAATATGTCAAATTCTTCAGTAGGTTGGCACAAAATTTGATACAAATATCCATGGCAACCAGTGAGCTACAGCCTTTTTGCCCAGTGACAACACTTCAGCATGCCATCCTTGCCAGGTAGCATGCTGGAAACATTTTTTTGCAGACCGAGCTCTGCTAAATTGTCGAGGGGACTGTCAAACATCACCTTTGATGCAAGCAATATGATAAAACATCTGACAAAGCATTCGAGGAGTTTACTAATGCGAGCAACAAGTAAAAGTGTGAGAATATGTCCAGAGACAACCCACGGTGTGTAAAAATAACATAAGCTCTTACCAAGTACACTGTTTTTGAAAAGCAGCTATTGTCAGCTGTAGATAATACAGGGTTTTATTGTCTTCTCACTACACTGGAGCACAAGTATGAGCATGTCAGCTGTCACCACATCACAGAAACCTTCTTTCCAAAGTTGCAAGGCTTTAGGAGAAAGCACACAGCAGCCTTTTCTAGGACATTTCGACCTTAGGCTTCACGGCTAATATTTGGACGGTGTCATCCAGTTTAAAGTTTAACCGAGAAATGGATGAATGAGAAATTCAGTGATCAGAGAGACATTCTGTGTGCACAGTATAAATATTCATGCAATAACTGGGCCACTGCAGGTGCTTTTGATGATATGCTTCAGTTGTGAGTCATTTGAAAAAGTTCTGTTCATATTCCGTTCATGTTGTATTCTAGCACAATTTTTTTTTAGTCTAAATATTTAGTTTGATAAAGATTTGAAGCAAAAAAAACAGCCTATAAATATTAAAACAAGACCTGCACTATGCTGCATTCTTTCACTGAGCAAAGGAGGCTCCTATTTGCTTCCAAATATCTGCTTAAAAACCTGCGTGACAACATGCTATCTGTTCTTCCTCCATTTTTGTTCTTCCTCCAGGCATGCCCACCAGGTTGGGCATGCCTTAAACGCCTCACACAGTAGGCATCCAAGAGGCATTTTAATCAGATGCCCGAATCACCTCAACTGGTTCATTTTGATGCGACTCTACTCTGAGTCCCTTCTGACTGATCAGTGAGAGGGGACTCATCCCATCTCCATAGCTTGCATCCGCAATCGCTTTCATCCAGTCACTACCCAGAGCTCGTGACCACAGATGAGGCTAGTGATGTAGATCAACCAACAAATCGACAGCCATGCTTTTCTTCTGTCAGTGTCTTCTTCCACTCTCTTCCTACTCTTGAACAAGACCCTGTGGTACTTAAACTCCTCCACTTTGGTGCTCCACCCTATTCCATCTGAGACCCACAGCCTCAAACTTGGAGGTGTGAACCACATGAGTTTGAGCTGGTGAAGCCAACAGAACTACATCATCCTCAAAAAGCAAAGATTAAATCCCGAAGCCACCAAAGCAGACACCCTCCACTCCTGTCTGCGTAGAAATTCTGTTCTTATTAACTATGAACAGAACCTGTGACAAATCCAACAAACCCACGGGAACAAGTCTGAATCATCTCCAGCAATATGGATCAAGGTCTCCCTGCAGTTCTACAGTAATCAAATGGTGCGTAGCATACTACACGAATTTATGTAGAACATCAGATGGCACAACACTCTCCAGTGTGCTATATGCCAAAGGTATGTTACCCTTACTATTGCAGGTTAACAAAATTCAGGCATGATTCATGCTCAGACTTGTATTTCACTAAACAAACTAACTGCACAAGTTCAAAGGCATCTCTCACACCTGACCTCAAAACAGTTTAAATTAGTCCCGAATGCCTTAAACCGCTGTGCTGAGCAAAGATTGAACACATACCATAAATACTCCTGTACACACACACAGACACACACATACACAGATTTTCCAAGCCCCAAAAACAGTGAAAACATAATTTTCATAATAGCAGGTTGAGCAAGTGTTCATTTATAGAAGTACTGTTGCAAGAACCAAAGCCGGTCAAGTTAGCACATACCTACAACCCTCAATATAAAACTTAACAAGATCCCACTTCAGAGGTTCTCAGGGGTTTCTCGTTGCGATTTCTAAAATTAAAATAAACTGTAGGGGGTGTAGAGAAGCAGACGTAGGATTTAATATTGACCAAACAGCCTTAAATACTATTGGCCAAACCTCTGTGGTCGCCATTCAAGCTGAATGAGTTCCATACATCTGAGAAACCTGTTTAACAGCATTTTTCTGTGGAAGTTTGCGTTTTTTTTCTTACTCTGTTCACCGTGGGCTTTATAATTTAATCTAATTCTGAGAAATAACAACACAGCAGCTTAAATGTGGTTCTATGGAACGAGCTGTGCCGGTTCAGATAAGATGAGCTGCCATTGAGGGGCTCTCCTCTAAACACATACACCTGGAGGACTGAGGCTCGCACAAACACATGCATATAGAGGCAGATATACACTCGCACTCAACTTGTCTACAACAAGCTGAGCACAGAGCAATATATCCAAGTAGTATTTTTACCTCAGCCCACACGCTGAGCAAAATGCCAGCTCTCGGCCTTGGGAAACACACACGCACACATTTGCTCAAACACAGGCAGACACACACCCTTAGACACAACAGGTCATGCCCAGCCGGCCACTGCGGCAGCCGCAGAACATAAACAACTTTCACACACTCTGAATCATCTGAGCATTTCAATATTGTTTCAGATACTGTAAATACATTCAGCCACTCATATAAATATATGCAACCATAATTATTCCCTGAGACCGCAAATGACCGTGACGGGAAGTTAGTTCCCACAGTTTCAGTGGCGTTGCAGCCCAGCCCTGTAGTGCTCGGTTTGCAGCGCAGACGACGGGGCAGCGAGGGGAGCGGAAGGTGCTCGATGACAACAAACAGCGGTTCGTCGGCTTCAATGCAACCTGGAACATTTATGTTCTGTAACGAAAACTGTTTTCTGCCCGTGAAACACAAAATGTAACTTCAGGAGGGAAACCTGTTCACTGCTTATACCAGTAAGTCTGTCATGCTCACTTTCTCCTCTTCATCCTCTCCTACACAAGCACACACAAGCACACATACACACAGATACACACCTCTCTCCCAGTGGGCAGCAGCTGTTGGAGTGCTAATCTCCATTAGCTACTGAACTGGCTTTTATGGAGAGAGCCATGTAAAATCTGCTCTCTCACTTCTCTCACTCCTTCATCCAAGTGAAACACCCAGACTGGGTCACACAGCAAAACCTCATTGTTTTTTTTTTCTCTGCTTTGCAGCATCTGCAACATACATTTTCACATAATTTTGAGTCCTATTCAGTGAACTGTGCAAACGTTGTGGTGATATACCCAAACACACCATTACATGAATCCAGAGTTTATCTAGATCATCTTAAGGCTTCTTAGCAAAACATACTAATAGAGAATATTTCAGTTAACCATGGAGGGCAAACGAGTGACGGACAAAAAAAATAAATAAAAACACGACTTACAGTCTGTAAAGCTTCGTTGTTCCCAGGAAAAGCAGCTCGGGAAAGACAGCCAGATTATTCCGATTCAGGCGCCTGCAGAAATACAACAGGAATTAGGGAATAAACTCGACCTTGCTCGTTCCAAAGACTGCGGTTGGATGCTCGTACATTTGTGTATAATTAGCTGTTTTAAAGTAGGATTTGTGTTTCCTGGACTTTGTATTAAATTCTGTTACACTGTTTTGATTGTAATACGATTTGAGAGCATGAAATAATTGGGAGACTGATGGAGACACACATACGTGGTCATGCATGGACACTGAAAGAAAACGGTTATCCATGATTTAGGGGTACAACATGGCTGCCAGACAAACAGTGAACTCGAGAAGGATGGAGGGAACGCAGGCGGAGGAAGACGAGGGAAGGGGTTCAGATGGAGGGAGGGCGGAGGGGCGTTTTTGCCACAAAGACGGAGGAGAGGAGACGATGTGGGAAAAACAAACAGGCAGTCTGGCCGGGCTACCGAATGTGTGAAAAGGACCCCACTGAGTAAACAAGGCCCTCACAGGGGAAGAACTCACAACAACCCATCACGCACACACACGTACACACACACACACACAGTGGAGACGACTCGGGTGAGTTTAATAATCTGGGTGCGATCATTTAACCCTGGCTGAGTGGAGTGAAGAGGTTTGTGTGCAGTGTGTGTTGATGTGTGTGTGCTTGATGTGTGTCAGAGGAGAGGGAGGCAACAGAGTGACACAATGAGAGACAGGCTGCTGAAACAGTTTAACCCTGACACAAACACACCCGCACACACTGACAGGCTCAAACGATGGATGCTGAGCTGGGTGCTACTGGATGGGAATGAAGAGAGGAGGAGGGGACGAAGAAAGAAAACACGGCAGGAACTAGAAGTTACTTCAAACTAAGAAGAAAACTTGAGTGTGATTTATACAAAAAAAACATACGAACTAACAGAAGTACTACACATTTTCAAACAAAAACACCAGCTCCTTTCAAAACTTCCCCAAATCTCTTTTTCATTCTCTCGTTGACTTTTTCCTCTTAACCTTTGTCTTTCACCTCTTTTTGCATCACTAGAAGCCGATGTGGACTTAAATAACGTCACCCCCTCTGTGTCCATCTTCCACCCACAAGAGCACAAATATGTGAACGTGCCCGTGCGCACACACACACATTCACACTCCACAGTTACATCAGAGGCTGCTTAAATATTTAACGTCCCGCAGAAATGATGTTTCTAAATTATTCACTCCTCTTCCGTTAACGCTGCTTCTGGCAGCTAAGAGCCCCACACGGCCCCACGGAGAGGCACACTCCCCCTGTAGGTCCTGCCCAGCCATGAGCGCCCGTTAGTGGGCTAGACATCCCCCTGGGAGAGTGTACGGACTGGTGTTCGAGGTAGGGAGGAGGTATGAGCTCATCGCCTTAAAATAGAGGCAATGCCGTCAGACTAGGAAACACGAAATGAAGTAGAGACAGGACACAGAGATCAAATCCAGTCTGCTCCACGGTGCTGCCGAGATATCAGTGTGTTTTAATTAACCTTTTATTCATTTCTTCACTAGAATATTCGTCTGATCATCACATTATCTATAATATATTTAGCAATTAGCAACATAGAGATTGTTCAGATTTACAGTCCAGGATTCCCGTGCAGAGTTCTTCTGTTTTTCCTGCTTTAGTTCTACAAATATTATAAAAGTCTGAAACGGTTTTACTTTCCTCGCACACTCTCACACATTACAAACAATGTGATATCAAAAACAGATCATTTATACTTCTGATGGGCAGCTCCAAATACAGTGATGTAGAAAAAAAGCAGCCAACAATTATTTTCACGACTAATTTATGCACTGAATTAATTAAATCATTGAAATTAATTTTAAAAAATTAACTTAGTTATTTACAGTAGACTGTAACAGAAACAAACCGCCTGCCATACTTAAAATAAATAAAAGGCTACCATCATACGTAACCAGACATTTCAGCCAATCATTGCAACACTGCATATGAACATAACACGAATAACATTAAAGTGCGCTTTTCTTATTTTAAACATTAAACATTGCCAAAGTTTCAAATATTGATTTCAGTGTTTGTACAAATAATTCCCGTGAGCCAGAAGCTTGGCCTTCAGACTGAGTGTCCCATTTTGGATAGCGTGTGTGTGTTTTCCTTCTCTACTCATCTCTACTTTCTTGCTGATCAAAGTTTCTGTTTCTGAAGGGCAGCCAATCAAAAGAAAGTTGGCTTCAAAAGAGGGTGGCCTTCAAGGCTGAGGAGCTAAAGTGTTTTGTTTCAGCGAGCAGATGAGAGGGAGTGAACCAGCATCCAGTATAAGATAAATAAGGATTATTTTAAACTTTGAATTAAGGAAACTCTAGTGGAGTCCAAGAATAATAGTATGCAGCTGGAAATGAGAATAAAGGGTCCAGCTGAAGTTATTATACATGTAATCAAACATTTTGGACTTCTTATGTGTCATTACACACTAGATCGTACTGACTATGACTCCCCGGCCCCAACATAAACTCTGCATGAACATGACACGCACAATGTGTTTGACGTCACATGTGATTTACTCCAACATGATATGTAGGACATTTAAAACAATCTTAAATACATTTCTGTAATAAACCACATAAATGGTTAAGCGTTGTTCATTAGAGGCAGAAATTACAAATCATTTTTCTGAGATTTGAAAAGTTCCCTTATGAAACAAAACTACTGAAAAAAACAGTGATGATTCTTAACAAGTTTCTCAGTTAAATCTGAGAGCTACAATGTAACTACAAAACATTTTAGCCTGGCTGAAATGTTTTGTAGTTACATTGTAACTAAGACCTCCAAAGTCTGCTGTTACTTACAGAGGCTACATCAGCTGACTTGGCAGTTTTCACAACTCCACTTTGCACATTTCTCACTTTGGTCTTCAGCACTGATTCTGCTCTCAGTATTTTGTTAATTTGAACTGCTGCATTAGCCTAATTAAGGAAGCACTGTCTAGAAGATTAACAGCTCAACAGTCAACCTATTGCAAGCTCTCCATCACCACTGAGCTTGGCTCGGCTGCTAATTGTCACTTCACTTTTAAAGTTCTGCAAAAAAATTTGCTTGAACATAAACTTCTGAATCAAACAATGAAATCTCTCCAGTCATGTAGTGATTTAGTTTATTTGATGTTTTTGTATATAAAGACAAATATGTAGCACGAACCAGTTCCACATGCCACACATTTATAGGCTGAACTAGTCTGCAATTACCACCCACTGTTGAGCCTTTTTCCTTCTACATCTGAAAGAACGTATCTCTATCTTTTATATCACAGTGTGTGAGGGTGTGTGTGTGTGCACAAACAGCCTCAGAGTGCTTCCACAGCCATGTCTCATTAGTCAAAGTCTGGCTGGAAGAGAATGAAGACGGAGTAGCCAGTAGTCCGAGGTGTGAGAGTCACTCCGCCGAGCTAATGTCACACTGCAGCATGGTGATAATCCCCGCAGTCATAAACAGATGCTAGAAGCCCAGAAACCGCACAGTAAACACACACTCGCAAACATGCACAGTGTGCCAAATCTCTGTACATACACACATGAATACTCGCACAAACATAAAAGTCTGACACGCACACGCAACCTTAACACCTCAGACCCATGTTGATGCGCAGTAGTACAGCCTTGCAGACTGAAAATAACAAACCGCCTCAGAAACCAATTATTACTCCACCAATGCTGCTTCAGCCATAATACACATGCTGAACTAACATTCAGTCTATCACACACACAAACACACGCACCAAAGTTATAACCCAAAACACTGCAGACATTTCCACGAACCTAAGAAACTGTCTCCACTCCAAAAACCACTTCAAACCGACCAGTGTGTGTGTGTGTGAATGGGTGTGAATGCGGTTCAACAGTTCATGTTTTCGGTTCACAGCTCGTGCATCCAAAGCGAGCCAATATCTATCACCCACCAGAGATTTACACTCTCTAATCTGATCTGTTATTTAAACACTAATGAAAGATACCATCTCTTGCCTTAAAACACAGAAATGCAGAAATTCAGTCTTATCTCCTAAACACTAAATTCCTTTGCTATCAGGTTAAAATCATTCGTATTCAGCAGCACCGGGCAGCTTTTCCTCTAAACTTTCCGCGAACTGGTGTGTACCAACAAACATAACAAATGTTGGGTGCAGCAGAGACTCGGAAAAATCTATCTCGAATGGCTTTTTAGACAGAAATGCTGTGGTGAAAATGGCTTTGTGTCTTCACAGCGCAGATAATTTCAAGCTCTACTGCTCAGTAAAAATGGAGAAAAAAAATGTAAACTTTGCCCTGAAATGATCAGCGGGAACAATTTTATCACTCACAGGCTTTAGAGCTAATCATTTCGCACTAATCCAGAGCTTTTCTTTGAAATCCATACCCCCGCTATCTGGGATCACTGTTACAATTATCTTCTGCTGTTCATATTGTCAACATATTACAGCACGATCACTTGATTTGAGGCTTCATTATCTACTTTGTAATTGCTGTTGATAGACGCATCTCACCACTGTAATCAGCTGTGCGATTACTCATCTCGGTAAAAATTATCTTTAAATAATGTGATCAGTCAGTTGCAGGCTAATTATCGAAGGATTTAGCCGACTGATTTTCTCTGAAATTACTGTCACGGTACCTGCAATATCGCTTTCATTCTCCCTGCATGTCTGAGGCTGTTATCTCCTTCATTCTCACACACTTTGAATTGAACAGGGGCTGTAAAACAGTCAAGTAAGTGAAGGATAAGAGGATCGGGAACTCCTCACTTAACTATTCTACACCCACAGGGTGAGAGTAAAGAATGTATAGCATTCCTATATGCACAGGACAATAGAGAGAGAGAGAGCCAGATGGGTGCGTAAGGAGCAAAAACGTGAGGAGAGGTTAAGGAATGAATGAAAACGGCGCGAGTGGGTTTGGGGGGGGGGTCCTCCAAATCAAGATAAAACCAGTACTGACAGAGCAGCCTTGCGTAAGTGAATGCGCATGCACGAGTGTATCCAAACACATTCATGTGTTTGGATATGTGCACAGTTGTGTTGTGACATGCCTATCTCCTCCACACCTCCTTCAACCACATGCCCCTCCTCTGTACCCCCAAGCTACTGCCCTACACCTGACCCAGCCCTGCCCGGCCCTTCGGGGCCTGTCGCAAAAAAAAAAAAAAAAAAAA